GTGTGTGTGAGTGTGTGTGTGTGTGTGAGAGAGAGAGAGAGAGAATGCATGCATGAAGAGATGCTCGAACAAGAGCAACATTCTCCATTGCCTCTAAAACACTTCATGACCTCTGAGAAGCGGATAAAAATACCGGCCAGACGAGAGCAAACACATTAAATGTGTTTGATTCTAATCTAGTTAAGTACGAGGATAATAGTGTTAGGAGGTTCAGATTCACATGTCTGACGCTCTGAGCTGCTGACAGGAACCTTCTGGAATGTCATGAACAGTAACAAAAACTGTGCTAAGTATTAATAATAAAATACCAGTTTGGGGTCCGTAAGATTAATTAATTTATTTTTTTAAAGAAACTATTACTTTTATTCATCAAGGACACATTAAATTGATCAAAAGTGCCAGTTAAAGACATTTATGTAACAAAAGATTTATATTTCAAATAAATGCTGTTCTTCTGAACTTTCTATTCATCTGTGAATCCTGAAAAATAAAATGCATCACAGTTTCCACAAAAATATTGTGCAGCACAACTGTTTTCAACATTGATAATAATCAGAAATGTTTCTTGAGCAGCAAATCAGCATATTAGAATGATTTCTGAAGATCATGTGACACTGAAGACTGGAGTAATGATGCTGAAAATACAGCTTTGATCACAGAAATAAATTACAGTTGAACAGATATTCACATAGAAAACCGCTGTTTAAAATTGTAATAATATTTCACAATTTTCACTGTATTTTTGATCAAATAAATGCAGCCTCGGTGAGCAGAAGAGACTTCTTTCAAAAACATTAAAAATCCTAGCGACCCCAAAGCACTAGTGAACACTATGTAGATGTTATTGTGAAGATGGTTGAGCTGAAATGTTGAAGAGGAATGAATATGATGAAGTGAGAGAGAAAGCAGCAGAGAGAGAGATTGATGGAAGGGAAGATGATGAGAGATGTTAAAGAGCCGCTGACACAGTCCTCAGAGCCGGAGAAACTGGTCTGAAAGAGGAGATCTGATGTTTATTATGTGAAGGAGACAGCGGTGAGAGAGACGGATCACGTGAAGCCCGGAGAAACACTGCAAACCAGATGAAGATGGGTGCGGTTCAGATGGACAAACAAACCAGAGCAAGTTATTTAAATACACGACAGGACAAACTAAGGTCTCTAATGTCCTCAGTTAACCAGTTTCCTCAGAAAGAGCAGGCTGGATGACTAGTCTCATGCAATCAAGTTTAGCTGTTGAGCAGGAGGACTATGACCAGCACAGGACTGTTAACTAAAACTACAACAATTAAAAACATTGAAATAAAGCTGAAATAAAATACAAATAAAATATTGAAATTTAAAATGTTTTCTAAGCAACTAACTGAAATACATTTAAATAAAAAAAGAAACATATATATTTTAAAACAACAAGAACTAGTAAACTGACAAAGAAATACATGGCTTAAAATAAAAATAAAAATAAAAATGAATATAAAATATTGATAAAACATAAATAAATTCAAAATATTAATAAAAGTTATTCAATAAATGAATTCAAATGAATTCAAAATATGACATACATAATAATAAAGTTTTATACAAAATTAATAATAATTTAGCTATATATATATATATATATATATATTGAATGATTTGTTCCCGAAAGACAAGTACCGAAAACTTAAAATAAATACACACACACACACGCATGCACACACACACACACACACACACACACACATATATATATATATACAGTCATGTGAAAAAATTAGGACACCCTATTGAATTCCATGGTTTTCTGTATCAGGACATAATAAAAAAATATCTGGTCCTTGTCAGGTCTTAAAATTGGGAAAATAAAACCTCAGATGAATAACAACACATGACATATCACGCCGTGTCATTATTTATTTAACAAAAATAAAGCTAAGATGGAAAAGCCATGTGTGACAAAGTTAGGACACCCTATGATTCAATCGCCTGTAGATCCACTTTTAGCAGCAATAACTTGAATGAATAATTTTATGTATGACTTTATCAGTCTCTCACATCATTGTGGAGGGATGCTGAAAATACAGCTTTGATCACAGAAATAAATTACAGTTGAACAGATATTCACATAGAAAACCGCTGTTTAAAATTGTAATAATATTTCACAATTTTCACTGTATTTTTGATCAAATAAATGCAGCCTCGGTGAGCAGAAGAGACTTCTTTCAAAAACATTAAAAATCCTAGCGACCCCAAAGCACTAGTGAACACTATGTAGATGTTATTGTGAAGATGGTTGAGCTGAAATGTTGAAGAGGAATGAATATGATGAAGTGAGAGAGAAAGCAGCAGAGAGAGAGATTGATGGAAGGGAAGATGATGAGAGATGTTAAAGAGCCGCTGACACAGTCCTCAGAGCCGGAGAAACTGGTCTGAAAGAGGAGATCTGATGTTTATTATGTGAAGGAGACAGCGGTGAGAGAGACGGATCACGTGAAGCCCGGAGAAACACTGCAAACCAGATG